CCTCAGTTGATGGGCATCCTCTCAATTTCCAATTCTTTGACACCACAAAAAAGAGCTGCTATGAATATTTTTGTATGTGTGGGTCCTTTTCCCATTTATATGAAGGGAGAGATCATTTAAGAATTATTGGACTACCTAAAAGCCATGATCAAGAAAAGAGCCTAAATGTTATATTTCAAGAAATTTTCAAAGAAAACTACCCTAAAATCCTAGAATCAGAGGGTGAAAAAAGAAGTGGAAAGAATCAACTGATCACCTCCAGAAAGAGAAAACTCCCAGGAATATTACAACTAAATTCCAAAGCTCCCAGATCAAGGAGAAAATATTGCAAGTAGCCAAAAGGAAACAATTCAAACATCATGGAGCTACAGTCAGGATTACACAAGATTTAGCAGTTTCTACATTAAAGAATCAGAGGGCTTGGAATGTGATATTGCAGAAGACAAAGGATTACAATGAAGAATCACCTATTCAGCAAAACTGAGTATTATCCTACAGGAGAAAAAATGAATATTGGATGAAATAAAAGACGTTCCTGATGAAAAGACCAGAGCTAAATAGAAATTTTGATTTTCACATATAAGACTCAAGAGAATCATAAAGAATTAAACATGAAAGAGAAATCAGAAGGGATTCACTAAGATTAAACTGTTTGCATTCCTACATAGGAAGGATTTATGTAACTCCTATAAACTTTATCATTATTAGAACGGTTAGAAGGTATATACATAGGCAAGAGCATAGGTGTGAGTTGACTATGATTTCCAAAAAATAAAATTATGGGGTGAGAAAAAGGGATACACTAGGAGAAGGGAGAAAAAGAATAGGGAACATAATCTCACATAAATAAGGTAAACAAGGAAGAGTTTTCACAGTGGAAGGAGAAATGGTGGGGGTGGGGGAGCAGGCAACATTTGAATCTCACTCTTATCTGAACTGGTTCAAGCAGGGAAGAATATATATATACACACTCATTTGGGTGTAGAAGTCCATTTTATCCAACAAGGAAGTAGGAGGGGAAGGGAATAAGAGGGTGGGGTGTGATAAGAGGGAGGCACAATATGGGAAGCAGTGGCCAAAAGCAGAACAGACTTTTGAGCAGGGACAGGGTTAAAAAAGACACTGAGAAGGATAAAAAAAAGAAAATGGGATGGAGAGAAATACACAGTAATCGTAACTGTAAATGTGAAAAAGATGAACTCACCCATAAAATGGAAGCAGATAGCAGAATGGATTAGAAACCAAAATGCAACAATATGTTCAAGAAACTCTTGAAACAGAAACACACACACAGAGTTAAAAAAAAAAGGGGGGGTGTGGGGAGGGGGGACTGGAGCAGAATCTATTATACTTTGGCTGAAGTATGAAAAGGCAAGAGTAGCAATCATGATCTCAAACAAAACAAAAGCAAAAAAAGACCTAATTAGAGAGATAATTAAGGAAGCCACATTTTGCTAAAAGGTACAAATATCAGTACTATACATATACGCACATGACATAGTATGCAAATGACATAGCATCCAAATTCTTTAAGGAAAAGTTAAATAAATTACTAGAGGAAATAGTAAAACTATACTAATACATGACTGCTCTCAGAAATAGATAAACCTAACTATAAGATAGATAAGAAAAAACATTAAGGAGATCAATAGAATTTTAGAAAAGCTATGTATGACAGAACTTTGGAGAAATTTGGATGGGAATAGAAAGGATTATACTCTTTTGGGGGGGGGCAATTGGGGTTAAGTGACTTGCCCAGGGTCACACAGCTAGTAAGTGTGAAGTGTTTGGTCTGAGGCCGGATTTGAACTCAGGTCCTCCTGACTTCAGGGCTGGTGCTCTATCCACTGCACCATCTAGCTGCCCCAATTATACTCTTTTCTCAGCTGTACATGGCATATTTACAAAAACTGGCAATTTATTAGGGTAAAAAAATTCCTCACAATCAAATGCAGAAAAGCAGAAATATTAGAAGTACCCTTTTTGGACCATAATGCAATAAAAATAGCATTCAATAAAGGTTCTTGGAAGCATAGATTAAAAATTAATTGGAAATTAAACAATCTAATTGTAAAAAAATGAGTGGTCAAAGAACAAATCATAGAAGCAATCAATAATTTTTAATTTCATTAAAGATAATGAAATCAATGAGACAACATGCCAAAATTTGTGGGATACAGCCAAAGTAGTTGGTAGGGGAAATTTTATTGTTCTCACTCCAAGGAATAAGTTTCTTCTTTATGAAGGAATGACTACTTGTTGCAATGAGGCATTATAGTTAACATTTATTCTGGTTCAGGAGCACTTTCTTCAATTAACCAGTGTAGAAACACTGATATCTGTAGAACTAAAGCGAAACCATTTGAAATTAGAAAAAAAAATTCAAAAGAAATAATGGAGGCTAAATAGGTCTCTGTTCCCTTATTTGAATTAAATATATAACAATACTGCTAAGAATAGCCCATTCAAAGTTATAACAATCAGAACTCTCTCTGTCCCTTTGCTAGGATTCATGATGAGGAAAGATATATTCCTAGAGGAAACTGAGACATTTAACTCCCATTCATTTGCATCTGTACTGTCAAGAATCAGCCTGTGGAGCCTTCCTCTTCATCTTCCATTAAGACCATTGATAGGAATCTTGAAAAATCTTTTTTAAAAGACCTCAATGTAGTCTATGGGAATCAAAGAATGTGGGATGATGAGATATTCCTTGACAAAGACTTTTGCTATATTCCTCGTGATGTAGAGCAGTTTCCTTGTGATTCCAGTCAATTTGAACGACTTTTTTCTATCTAGGGAAAACAAGCTAATCTTATATTCATTCTGCAGGTTGCCTTTTATGGACATTCCTAGAAAATGGGGAGATACTGAAGTCAAATATGGGCCCTGCAATATACAAGATCCATTCCCTCTGTGGAAGAGTACCTTTGGCAAAGAATCATGATATCCATATAAAGCAAAGACATATTCCTAGAGAAAATCAGGACATTTTCTCTCCTTCATTTGCTCCAGTACCTTCAAGAATCAGACTCTGGTGCCTGCCATTACACATTCCATCATCTTTTAAGAGGCATTGTGAAAAACCTTTGACAACATTTCTATGTAGTCTATTGGAATCAATAATTGTACTCAATGACTGGGGATGTTCCTTTACAAACAAAATTTTAAAGTATTGCTCCAACAGTAAAGAGAGAGTCCCATAACAATGGGCTCTGTGACAGGGGTTCACACACACAAATATATATATATATATATATATATATATATATATGTATACATACATGCAAAGAGGTGTGTTGTTTTGCTATATTATTTTGCCCATCTAGGTTATCTGTGTCTGCATGAATCTATTTAGATGTGGCTTGAAAGGAAGTAAGAATAGATATCTCTAGAATCTTCTCTCCCCCTACCCCACCTTTCTCCAAGAAAGACTTTGATTCCTGATAGGAGGGGAAGCAAAAGGTTGGGGCCAGAGGCTAGCCACACTGCTCTCCTCAGAGATGGAGTTTGCTGTGTTAGAATTACACCTATCTGTTCCCTTAAATATTGGCAGTCTAGGAAAAATAATTTTAAAGTTCAAGTTACGTTCCCGATCACTATCCTTTAAATGGGGGGAGTACCCCAAACTATATATCCAAGGTATGACTCCCTTCCTACCAGATGCCAATTCTGTAATTAACACACACAACAAATAGCAATTAACCCATTTAATCAGTTAGCAAACTTCATCAAAGTATACACATGAGAATATATACATATATGTACATATACATACATACATATATATGTATGTATGTATGTGTATGTATGTGTATATATATATATATATATATATATATATATATACAGGACAATACTCAGAGTGAATAAGCTTTCCCATTGGGTATGAGATAAGTCAGCTCAAGAGAGTCCCAGATCTCAGCTAAAGGGAAATTCCCTGAAGTCTCTAATACAGCAAGCTAGGGAGAGGGACGTGATAGAGGTTCCTGGCTTCCTATATATCAGCTTCTTCCCAGAATCTTCCTCTATCTCCATGGACCTGAAGACAGATGCACACACAAATACATACATACATACATACATACATACATACATATATACACCACATATATACAATATATACACATATATATGTAGAGTATATATGGTACATATATACTCTGGAAAACTATGCATTTTCTATAATTAATAATTATTAATAGAAAATGCTATTAATGGAAAATATTCCATGCCCACCCATCCACACATACAACTTGCATTGGGGGGAAAAAATTTCTTCTCTCTTTGAGTTTCAGCTTCCTCTTTCTTAATCCCCTTCCATGCATCGATACTTGGACAAACTCATGTTAAATGGATACCTGGGTTTTTACTAACAGCTCCAAATCACATAGCAATGAAAGGAATACTGCCAAGAAGACAAATGTTTTCCCCCCCACCCGCAAGAACCATACTCCTCCTCCGAGGAGATAAGGGAAACAGGAAGTGAGTGGTTAAATAGGGAACTGGGAGCAGCTTCCCTGCTCCAGCGAGTGAGCAGGAAGGAAGTATTGAGACTTGGGTTGGTACCTCTCACCAACCCCCACGATCTTCTAGTTCTTCCTGATCTGTCCTGCACCCTTGTATGCTCACCACCTCTGCTCTGCCCTACTTAAGCTCACGCCTCTTGAGCACTTGTGGGCTAGTCTAGCCTTTTCTTTGCTGCCCTCTGTTCCTCCAAGCCCACATACCCACATATTCTACTGAGCAGGAAGGGATGCTGACAAATATGGGTGGCAGCCAAATTGGATCTTTTGAGCAGTGCTCATTCTCCCTTCTATTCTGTCCCCCACATACACACACTCTTCTCTACACTTCTCCATCTGACTGACATTTCTCTGGGCAACTTCAAAATCAAATGCCACAAAAACAGGGAGCTCTGCGTAATGCCTGGTCTTCTACAGGAAGACTCTTCTGGTCAATCAAGTCTCCATGGTAATAAAGCAACAAGGGCTATATAATTAACAAATATGATTCTTTTATTAAGAGGAAAGAGCTGGGCTCCAAGGAAGAAGCAACTGATTGGCTCACATGGATGCTATTCCCGTGGATATACAAGTGCTGTCAGATAAGAGATCATCATAAGAGTCATAGGAAAAATAGAGGAATGAAGGTTGGTGACCCTTTGCTGAGGGATAATGAGGCAGCTATTTGTCAATCTGGTAATAACAATAAAAGGGTTTACAGGCTTCCTTGTTCATGACAGAAACTTGTAAAATCTGATTGCATGTATCTACTTCTGATGAATCACATGGATGTAAATGATAGTGCATAACAAAACCAACACATTACCCATGTATGAAAATGTATGCTGTCCTCTGAAGTCAATGCTGATCAGCACACTGACTCAATTTCGTATGACTTTCAATGCTTTTTCCCCTCCCTTCACATTATTGTAGTCATTATGTAAATTGTTTCCTTGGTTCTGTACTTCTCTCTGCATCAGTTCATGTAAGTCTTCCAAAGTTTCTTTTAATTCTTCATATTTATTGTGTTTGTGATGTAATGGATTGTGTTGTGATATAATGGATTATTGCAACAATCCATTACATGCATATACCACAAATTATTCAGCTATGACCTAATTGATGGGTCCCCACTTTGCTTCCAATTCTTTACTACTACAAAAAGTGCTGCTGTATTTTTGTACTACTGCCTTCCCCTCTGTTCTTGACTTCCTTAGGTAAAAGATTAATTATAGTTTACTGATACTTTTGGAATAGTTCTAAATTATGATCCACAATGTTTGGCCCAATTCACAATGTCACCAAGAGAGCATTAACATACTTGCCTTCTCCAATTTGTCCAGGATGTTAAAGTGCAAAGTTATGACACAACCAGTATACAAAATATTAAGTTATAAGAGAACAAACAAATACAGTCAATAAAAGGGCTTTGGGCTCCAGGCTAAGCCTTGAAATTTGAGGAAGTCCAATCATTAGAATGATTTGTGACCGACATACTGTACAGTGGGAAAAGGGAATTTTTCTCTCCTAGGTTGTAAATGGCAGCCTGTAGTGACCTACATAGAGGGTGTTACCCTAACCAACAGCTCCAGAGTTGGTCTGTTTGAGAGAGTTTGAGGCATAATTGAGGGAAAAATGATACATTCCAGGTGGTCACAGAAACAGCAAGGCAGGAAGAGGGAGAAAACAGCTTCAAGGAAAGGACCTCCGGAAGCAGACAAGAGCACCAGCTATGGATTCAGGAGAGCTCAAAGACTTGGCAATTCAGAGTAGAGCTATAGAGAAGAACCGACTGCAAACCTAGTTAGGCAATACAACGGAAGACATGCTGCACACAATAGATGTGTGAATTCTCTACAAAAGAAAGGTGTTCCAGACACTGCAGTACCAGGAGTTGTGAGTTCTTTTTATCACATGTGTATCCTATAAGTGTGCCTCTGCTACCAATATACTCTTAACTTTGAACCCACTCTTCCTAGGCTGCAGTCTCCCATAAATACATACAACGTACTTTAGCTGGGGATTTTTGTTTGTTTTGTCATCTTAGTAAATTCCTTTGCTTTGAGCTAATTGTGTCTATTGGGTTAGTGCCAATCATCCTGGTGCTTCATACAGTGTTAGGACTGTGTAGACCCACAAGGTTACTCCTAGATCCTGAAAGTAGCAGTAACCCTTCTGGGTACCCAACCCAAATATGGGAAAGTAGTCTATATGTAGTGCTACTATATTTTGCTCATATTAGGATTCATCCTTTGGAAATGTTGAGGCAAATTATGGCAAGACATATGCAACATAAGGATGTCAAAGACAAAGGTACCACCTGCGTTGCATCTAATTATTTTGCGAATAACATTGAACTTTACCTAAAACTTCGTTTATCCAAACGTGATTTTCTTATTGACAACAATTCCACATTTAAGTACCTTATCTCTACACTTCCACCCTCCCCCTTTGCTGCTGTTCTAGTGCTGTTTGAGTTCTAAGATAGGAGGAGGAGCAGATGACAAGCAGTCTTGCCTTTGGGGTATGAAACAGGCTCTTCCGGTTACTTCCTTTGTGTGTAGCTCTGGCTTTTACTCTCCGCCCCAATGACAGCAAATGATAGCCGCTCAGTAAAGGGATAAAAAGAGCTTATTCTCTTTTCTTCTCCCGGCCGTTCCACTTTCTCAGCTCCAAGGGGAGCAAACAGCACTAGCCACCTTCTTTGTCCCTCGCTCGAGGTACACGCAGTCAATATCGCCTACAGCTGCAGTCTCACCTGGAAGAAAGAGAAAGGTGGTAGGCAGCAATTGGTCGGTCCTTCCCTCTTGCACAGTAGCTGCATAGGCGAGCGCCTCCTGCTACCCTTGGTACGTGCCCGCCCCTGCGTCCTGAGGATTTTCCCTATTGGATCGCTGGGGACTCTATGTGAGCACAGTGGTGGAGCCTCGGAGAGCGAAGAAATTGGATGAGAGACTGGGCGGTTTCCTTACCCCTACATTGCTGTTGGCAAACATTTTTGTAGCAACCACCGGAGAAGTTGCTTGTTGTGAAGGTTGTTCAACACTCTCCAGGCCCTCGTCCTCTTACTGGCATCCGGACTTAGGTAGGCAGCCTTCCTGTTGTTTGCTGCAGTGCAGTAGCTGGCTTAGTGTCCCCGCCTAGTTAAAAACTACCCTACGTAGCCTTTGGGATGAGGGTGGGGCACCTGCTTGGGGACCCCATCCTTCTCCCACAGCGGGGCTCCAAGTGCGGTTCATGGTCCATTCCTGGCATGATCGAGGTGCCTGAGGTAGTGATATTTCTATCATTGTCAAACCAAGGGTCCCTTTGCAGAAGGAAGCAGATAGGGAAGAATCGCTTCCGGCTTTTCCATTTTATTTAAATAGCAGAAGAAAGAGGGTGCTTTGAAAATATTTCCTCTTCTTAACTGTTAGGAACATCAGTTGTTGCTAATCTCTGGGCCTCATAGGGCAAATCGTCCCCCATCCTTTTATTCCAGTTGGCACCGTTGCTCTCCAGGAATGTTAAAGATGAGCGCCTAGTGCCTGTCGCATAGTAGGCTCTTAATAAGTGGCAAGCAGAAGAGTAAGATTAAGTTGAGTGGCTGTGGGTTTGTGTGTTTGTATTTGTGTGTGTTCATTCATGAGAATAATCCATTGAAAAATAAACCCTTTGCCTAGGGAAGACCTAGATGTTTTAAGAGGTCTACCCCAGAACAGTGAGCTCTCTAAGGTTCTGTCCCTAAAGCATGTTCCTTGACTTTAATATTTTGCAGTATTCATGTCTCCAACATAATATAATCTTCTGAGTAAAGGGATTGTGGAGGTGTTACATTTTCCGTTGTTCATTCATTTTCAGTCGTGTCTGACTCTTCGTGAACCCATTTAAGGTTTTCTTGGCAGAGATATTGGAGTGGTTTGACATTTCCTTCTCCAGCTCTTTTACAGATGAGGAAACTGAAGCAAACAGGGTCTGAGGACCTGTCCATTGAGCCACCAAGCTGCCTAGTGTTACACTATTATGAAAAATAAACCTCGATTTAGAAAATATTTTTGTAGTGTCTTATCTAAGGTAATAATTTTTTTTCCCCTCTACCCCAAGCCATTTAGTTGTGGCTGCTTATTTAAAAACAAATACTTTCAGTTAGTTTTGTTAGCACTTTAAAGGATCCAAGTTCAGGATACCCACACCCTTATTATATATTTATTTGGTCAATCTATCAAGACATTTATTAAATATCTACTATTTGTCCTGAAGACACTGTTAGTCATGGAGTAATTTGAATTTTAATGTCAGAATCAGGGCTGAGAATTTTTTTGTTTTAGTAAATGTGTTTCCGGAGGTGTTCTTTGCTGATTATTGGTAAGTGCTTCATAAATGTTAGTTGAGTTGATTCGATATTTCTAAATTTCTATGTGAATGACTTAGAAACAGTTTTCTGTTACTTCACAGATATGTGGCAACATGTATTTTTTACCACATAAGAAAGCTATAGGACTGCTTTGATGAAGTGAAACAACTAGAGTTTTTAATTGCTACAACAATCAACCAATTAACTTTAAAATAATATAGCCAAAAATAAATTTACATTAAAAAGAACTGTTAATGGTAGGAACTTTGGGAAATTTTTCTTTTCAATTATGAGGTGGGTGTAATTGATTTAAAAATATTATCTTCATACTTGCTAACACCCTTATTAACTGCTTGGTCTCATCCGCCAAACTTCTAATCTCATTCAAAAAGTTAGTTTGTGAAGTACTTACAGCTTAATCATTTCTTTTAGCATTTTTTATCTTTCAGTTATCAATGCAGAAGTCAAATATAACTGACTGACCTGTTTCTGAAATTACCACTGACATGCTGTGCTCATCTCTGCCCCTCCCAACATTTCCTGGTTTGAGCTTGTCTTGCTAAATAGTGCTTTGAAAAATATGTACAGCTGTATAGCCAATTCAGTTGCTTCAAAACCACTGCTTTCTTAATGGATGTTGTCCATACTTTCCACAAGCATACTTTTCTCCTCACCATACTAATTTATTTCTGCTGACTTTTTTTTTCTTCTCAATTTCTCTAATTCAGTTCTGCCGCCATTCAAATAAGAGCAATGTAGCCTATCATGGCTTCACAGAGCCATTTTACTACTTCTGATATCTCTAGATGTTTTTGGCTCCTTTTGATGTTAGTAAACATTTTGCTACAACCTACTGGATGATGATCTGTTCCATCTGCCTGACCCTTTTCGTAAGCAGTTGCTTAGGATCTACAAGCCATTTCCATCAGTTTTGCTAGTTATATTAGTTACTCACCACTGCTGTAGTTTGGTTACTCTGGGCAATAGCCAAGAAATATAGCACATTGCCTCACATAGTATTTTTACCTGTAGGAAATGATTGGCTTAAGTCCAGTGAAGTTTGTGTGTGTGTGTGTGTGTGTGTGTGTGTTTAAAGCAGCGCAAACAGTTAGATATCCTTAGGTGCTTAAGAAAATTATATAGGATTGTGTAGAGGGATCAAAGGAACAAATATAATACTTTTTAAGGACTAGAAGAATAGTCCGTGATAAAATTTTTTGAGAATAATTTGGTATTTGGAAAGATTTTTCCTCTAAATCAAGGATTAAAAACCTGGGCTAGAATGAATATACAGGCCCATACAAAGAGGGATATTGTTAAAGAATAATTATCAGTGCAACATTTTAAGTTATCGAAAATTACCTATTGACAATCTGGGGAGAAGAATGATGTTTCATTTAGGCATTAAGCTCAGGCCCACTAGAGCTATGACTTTCTTTATATACTATTCCTGTCATTCTGTAGACTCTAAAAAAATTATAGAAACTCAACAGAGAAAGGATGTATGGGAAGTCATTTTAAAGACACAGAAAAAAGAACGAATAGCATGGGAAGGTACCTGGATCCTAGAAATATAAAAGTGAGAAATTTGTAGATTAGAGGTATTGGCATATTTCAAGTAACTGTTGGTTTAATGAATATTATGTAGTTAAGCCTTCCGTTCCCCTTAAGGTCCTATTTTTTTTAATAGCTTTTATGCCTTTTTGATTTCAAAATGCTGAGAATATTCAAAGTTTATTTTTTTCCCTCAGAAAATAGATTGAGCATTAAATATTGCTCTCAATCTCCAGTCATAGCATTATGTCAAGAATCTGTGATTTCATTCACCTGCATAAATTGAAATTCCTCTGCAACTTCTTAGCTAAATCTTAGAGCATTATTTCCCACTAAACTTAAATTGCTAAATATAAGGTCAACAGCAGGGAGACCTATTTTTAAATATGGTTTTGTTTTTGCTTTGCAGGGACAATTGAAAAATATTCATTTCATATTGCTAGCTTGCCATAATGCCCTGTTGGTGACATTGCCAAGTTACCCAAAATGGATCATTCTATTAATAAAATGATTTTAAGTATAAGCAAAATTTTCTGCAAAATGGTGTTTATGGGTATGATTTTTATATGGTGATATGTTTTATAAAGGGTGGTGTTTTACAGAGTTCATTTGTTACATCAGATATATAATATGTGCACATTTGTTTTTATTTTGTTCTTTTCTCTTGGCTTCAGGTTCCTCTCCTACTGTGAGAATGTAAAATGGATCCAGAAGAACAAGAGCTATTGGGTGATTACAGATACAAAAATTATTCTTCAGTGATTGAAAAGGCTTTAAGAAATTTTGAATCATCAAGTGAATGGGCAGATCTAATCTCTTCACTTGGTAGACTCAATAAGGTATTTGAAGAGTGTTATAAATCTTTTTAAAGTGACTACAATTAAGTTTCTTTTTATCATATGTAGATTCACACTCTATCTAGTATAAACTGTAATGCTGAGCAGAAAATACATGTTTTTTAAAATTATTTTTAACTTGGAATAGCATTCATTCTTTTGACCAATTGTTTTTGGTCCACTACCTCCTTGTCACTTGAAGTGACACAATATCTTCAAAGGTTTTGCAAGTAAAGCAGATTCTGGAAAAGCTTTTAGTAAGGGCCTGGTACAAACTGTACATTCCATCTTCCAAAAGACCTCTGTGGGAGAGAGGTATATGATGTAACTGTATGGGCCATGAGATAACCCTTTGGATGTTCTTACTCTCATGTGTCTGATGCTTTCAGGGGCTCCTCATTACAAGGGAAAACTAGAATTGGGGAAAGGCAAGAAAGGCAGCAGAATAGCAAATAAAATAGCACCCTTATGAGGAGCATTCTAAAATATTCAGTAGAAAAAACTTCCCATGCAACAGACTTTATATTTTTCTGGAGGAAATATATTAAATTCTGAATTCACACACCAAAAAAAAGAGCTATTTTTCATACAGACAGCGGAATACAGAAAGAGGATTTAATATAAATCGGACTCCATTTCATACTGCTTGCTTTGTTTTAAAAAAAAAAAGGAACAATACATCCTACACATTACTTTAAAAGTACCCTGCTTATCTGTGCTTCCTTATGAACTTCCCACCATTCTATTCTCTTATACTTTTTCTTCTGTTTTTTTCTCCTGTCATTTTTTAGGAGTCTGTTCAGGTAGTCAGTTAATAAACGTTTTTTATTGCCTGTAACATGCCTACATTGTGCTTAATGATGGGAATACAAAAAGAGGCAAAAAACAGTACCTGCCCTCAAGAGCCTCACAATCTAACAGGGGAGACAAGCAAATAACCTGCACAAATAAGCTGTGGTGAATAAATAGGAAATAATTGAGAAGGGAAGACACTAGGATTAAGATGGGTTGGGAAAGGCTTCACATAGATGAGATTTTAGTTGGGATTCAAAGAAAGCTAGGGAAGCCAGTAGATAAAGTTGAGTAGAGAGAACATAACAGGCATTGGGGACAACCAGAGAAAATGCCTAGAGTCAAGAAATGAAGGGAATCCAGAGGAGGCTAGTGTTGCTTGGTCGTATGTTTCTTCCTTAGCGTGCTCTTCTTTTACATTTTTTTTGCTTTACTGCTCTCATTTAATTTTTAAAATCCTTTTTTTATCTCTTTTTCGAACTGTTGCTTTAACTCTTCTAGGAATTATTTTTGGACTTTTGTTCAAGTTGCATTTTTCTTTGAGGATTTGCTTGCAGATATTTTCAGGTCATTCTCTTCTATGTTTATGTCTTGACCTTCCCTGTTACTGTGGTAGCTCTTTGTGATAGGATTTTTTGTTTGCTTACTCATTCTTCCAGCCTGCTTCTTGACTTTGGACTTTAAATTAGAGCTAAGCTCTGCACAGTTTTAGGGGATGATGTTTGGGCGTGAGCTTTTGTCTTCTTTCATCCTTCTTCTGTTTTCACAGTTCAGTCTGGTAGCCTGTAAGTTTTCAGCATTCCCAAAGTGTGTGATCCAGAGAGAGGTGCGTTCACTGCCCTCTTGATCTGACCTCTGCAAGTTTCTGACCCAGGTTTGGGTCTCTTGACTTGTGCTTGCTTAGAGTTTCTATAGACTTCTGCTGGACTTGGTCACTGTTAGCCCACTTGGAGGTTCTACAGGTTTAGAGCAACTGAACTGCTGGTTTCCCTTTAGTTTGAGACTTGTACCTTGAATATTTCATTTCAGGCTTACCTTCTGGGCTAAAGGCTAGAAGTGAGTCACCATTTTCCTCCTGGGATCAGAGCCAGACAGCTAGTATTTGTTTAAAATACTTGTTCCTTGCTCAGTACATAGCTAGTACTATGTAGTACTAGCCAGTACACTCACTACTGATTCTCTCCACCCCGGATCTATGACCTGGGACTGGAGAATAGACAACAGAGCTGCCAGATCATGTGTTCCTGTATCCAGTGCTCATCCTGGGAGCCCCTCGAATCTCTTTCTGCCCTGGTGCTTCCTACACTGGGGCCCTGGCTCAGCCTTCTTTCTGTCCCTGTGTGCTTCAATGCTTCCTGTCCCTGTGGGTACTCCTGGCCAGACTTCATTCCAAGTAACTCTAGACCACTCTGTCAACCTTCATCAGCTGACCTCGGCTGGAAAAAGTAACTCACTGAGATTTTTCTTGGCTTTGCTGATAAAAATTCTGTCTGGCACATTTTCTAAATCATTGTAGAAGAGGAATAGTGGGAAGCTAGACTCACTGCTTGAACCCACCTCTGAGGCCGATGATTCTTAAACTATATCTCTAATCTGTTTTCCAGGTTGTTGGGTTTGGGTTGTTGCTTTTTTTGAGAGTGAATAGTTACTTTTTTTCCTTTTTTCTTTTCGATCTTTGGATTGCACATTTCTTGATGTGCCATGGAGGTGGTGATTCTTGAATGGTCTATTCTATTTTTCAGAGAGTCCGTTACTTACTGAAGTTGTATTCTAAGCTATTTTTTCCTCTTAATTCTTTCCTCCAGAGGTTTTCCTTTTTAATTTAATTTAATTTTTTTATCTCTTGGTATTCTTGCAGACTTTGTAGAAAATCTATGTTTTCCTTTGAATGTTCCATTTTTAGTCATTCTTTTTTTGAGGCTTTACAGAGCTACAATGCTTTTCATATTGGTTGATGTTTTCTTTGATTTATTCATCTCCTGCACTGGGGCTTTGGTGTAGGGATAAGATCAGCTCACTGCTGTGCCTTTGGGTGGAGTGGTCAGCTCTACTTCATCTTTCCCTAGGTCCCCTGCATTCTTGTGTTGAGCTCCATCTCTGGGGGAGTTAGGACTTTCTTTGAGGTTTAAAGACTGTATCTTCAGGGCCTTCTATTGGCATCTGGATGGAGTTTTAGGGGCTTTGGAGCTCCTTGGTTTAGGATAACTCATTGTCACCAATCCTTTGATCTGACTGGCAGCTGTTCCTGGTGGCTTTGAAGATCTGCTCTCTGGATTTCTGCTCTATCCAATGGCTTTCTCAGAGGAGGCCTTTGTTCTTGCTCTCTTGGTATACATAATCTTGTAGGCTATCAGTGTCTCGAGTTGCAGTGGAAGGCTTCTAGCTTGTTTGCCTAGGGTAGTTCTGGCCTTTCCTGTAGGCCCCCTTTACTTATGCTCTATGGTTTTAGGATTATCTTACTGTTTAGTACTGGTTAGAAGAAGTTGCTTACTGTAGTTTTTGATTGGATTTCTTGACCATTATTTAGTCTGATGCAGTTTTCAAGGTTTTGGCAGGAGTATGTGGGAGCTGCCCTGTCTATGCCTATTCAGGCTGCCATGTTGGCCAGAAGTCCTAGAAACTGATTTTGTGGTGCTTCCCATAGAGCCAGTATCCTCCCCAGGTCACAGGAAGGCACTAACTTTAGTTTTCTTCCAGTGGTTCTGAAAGGTTTGATAAGTTGAGTCATTTTTTCTAATAGAACATCACCTTGCTAATACCTATACCAGCTCCATGCTCTAGATTTTCTGCTTTTATTCTTTGTTAAACCTCAAAAATCTCATTATGTAGTACAGCTACATGTTGACTTTTAAGTTTTGTGCGTGGATGGTAATAAAGGTCAAAATGTCCACAAATTTCCCAATTCCATACCAAATACCTGACATCTTTGAGATTATCAAACACTAGATTACCGTGCTCATTGCTTCTATATATTGTGTACCTAATCTATTCCATTGATCATCCACTCTATTTCTTAACTAGTGCCAAATGTTTGATGATTACTACTTTGTAATATAGATTTAAATCTGGTACTGCTTGGTCCCCTTCACATTTTTTGGTCGTTAATTCCCTTAACATTCTTGACCTTTTGTTTCTCCACATGAATTTTATTCTTATTTTTTATAGCTCTATAAAGAAATTTTTGGTAGTTTGATTGGTATGACACTAAATAGTTAAATTAAGTAGTGTATTGTCATTTTTATTATATTGTCTCAGCCTATTAGTGAGAAATGAATATTTCTCCAGTTATTTAGATATGTCTTTATTTATGTCAAGAATTTTTCAAAGTATCTCTTTTATTTTCCTTTCCTCTGTAATCTGAATATGGAACTTTGATATCAAAGTTAGATATCCATTTGGAGTTTGTTTTATTTTGGTAAATGGTGTGAGTTTTTATTTAAACTTAATTTGTTAGTCTGCTTTCTAGGTTCCCTAGCTCTGTGTGTGTGTGTGTGTGTGTGTGTGTGTGTGTATAGAATAGTGACCTTTACTCCTGTAGTTGAGGTCTTTGGTTTTATTACATATTAAGCTACTATGTTTAATTGATTTTAGATTATGTGTACCCAATATTTTCCATTAATCAACTTTTCTATTTTTAACCACCATATAGTTTAAAAAAATATTTCATATAGAAGCTTAACTGATATAAATCAATTGCCATAACAATGCAATCAGAAAAGCACCTTGGTTAGCAAACACTTGACTTATTTGTGGAGAGGAGAAAGATAAGCAAAGGTAACCTCAGTTTAGTCTATAAATTCATTGGTAAAATTTTACAAAAAAGAGTGAAAATTATGAGAAGTATCACTTTATAAAGCAGAGAGAAGCAGCGAAGGGCAAACACTCTTTTTTATTTTGGCAAAAAGCCCAACTATATAAAATCACCCCCAAGGAAATGTAGGGATAAAAATGGATAGAGCTCAACAAACAGGTAAAAAATGGAAAAGATCAGCAAAATATCCAAATTATAACATGATAGCTTGATACAGTTTTGATGATTAATATTTTGTAGTAAAGTAGAGATCTGCTACTGCTAGGCCCTGCTCCCTTTTTGTTTTTTTAATTTCATTATGGTTCTTGACCTTTTGTTTCTCCTGATTTACCTTGTCCCAATATTTTTCTATTTCTGTAGTTTTAAATCCTTGTCACAGCACTGGATTTCTAAATTAATT